AAAAAAAAATAAAGAAAAATCAATAGGGTGGATTATCACCAAAATAATTTGACTATCGCCTGTTAACTGGCTATTCCTTTTCAATAATCGTGCTCAGCCTGTTGGCAGTACTTTTTCACATACATGTACATGCTCTAAACGAATTGTGGACGCAGCTGAACCACTAGGATACGCTTTGTCTTCGCATGTGGCTCAACGGTGTCCGGGATTTATAACATTAGATAATTAAGAGCTTTTGCGGGTGGTGGGCAATGGCAGCAGGCTCAGTCAAGGGCTCAGTTTGCGACGGGACTTCAAAGGGTGAGTAGGGCCGTGCTCTCCAACAGGTGGCAAAGAAAACAAGCACTTTTTAGGAGCGCAATTCACATTAACAGAAGTTCATTCCCTTGACCACTTTCTGAAGGTACTAGTTGGAAGATCAGTCAAAAATGCTCAGGAGTCCCTCTGGGGCATGCCCACTTCACACTTTCTTCCCCAAGGGCAATCTGTGAGGAAGGGAAATACTCGCCTTCATGCAAGCCGCAAAAGAACAAGAAAGAGACGAAAGTGGGACAGCCAGAGGACGTGAGCATCTGTCTGCACCGAAAGTATTTTTCCCTAATGGAGGCCGAGCGCACTCCGGGAGGGCGCGAGGGTCCCACACTCCTCCGGGACTCCGCCCCACTGACCTTCAGGGGTCCCAGCAGGACCCCAAACGTGTCTGGATTTGCACAGGTCCTTCAGGACGCGCCCCTTGCGGGGTCTCCCCTGTCCCTTCCGGCGTGCGGTAAAGCGCACTCACCGCCTCTTGCACTGCCTTCTCTCCCGGCCTCTCCCCTCCGGCCCACACGCGAGGGCTGGCCCGACTGCGCGGCCCCGGGGCAGCGACTCACCCCAAGGGACCCGCGCCGAGGTCCCCTCGGGCCGAGGCGGTGACAGCGGGAGGAACGCGCCTCAGGCCCCGGCGCTCGTCCCCCGGGCGTCCTCGCCTCCCGGCCCGGCCCTGCGCCCCGACCACGGATTCACCTGCTGCGCCCGCCGCCGCGGCCCTCAGCGCTCGCGCCATCTCCAGGAAGCGTCCTGGTCCCGAGGAGGGGCGGGGCGGCGGGGCGGGGGGGGGCGGGCGCGCTGGAGGCGTCCTCTCGGCTGCGCTCCCCCTGCGTCCTTGAGAACGCTGGTTGTATCTAAACCAGAACTATAACCCGAAGACAGTCACTCCCTGCGGGACTACCAGGCAGACGCGGCGCCGGCCCCTGCCCCAGTGCGCATGCTCAGTGATAAATTCTCGCGCGGTCATTGGCTCCGGCTGTAGGTGGTTCCGGAACCTTTGAGCCGCGGAACTTTCGGTCCTGAGCTCCAGGTTGCGAGAGGGGAACCTTTGCGGTGCGGTTTCCTCTCGACCCTCTTCCGGAGCATGTGGCGAAGTTCCTGGAGTTGATGGTTGGGATGGCTCCCCGGACCTGGCGTCGGCGGACCCTGGAGAAGTGTCTGAAAGAGATCGGTGAAGCCACCAGGCAGCCGGAGTGTTTCCTCACGTGAGCACGCCAGTCTCGGGCTTGGAGAGCCGCCCAAATTGTAGTCCTGGTTTGCGGGTGGCCGGCCAATCCCGGAGGGAGAGGAACAGGGAGTTTAAATCACGGCTCTCCGAATTTCGGACACTGATGCTCCCTGTCACAGTTTTTAAAAATTAGAAGCTGCGCAGAGCGGGTCCCTCGGTTGTGTGCCACAGAAATCAAGCCGAGTTCAGCTGATAACGCTCGGAGGCCTCCCTTGGGCTGAGTCTTCCCCCTCTTCGCAAGCGCCAGCCCTAAGGGCGCCCGCCGCCGCTAGCACCAGACTTTATTGCAAGTGTGAGCCTGCCGCTCGCCGGTGCTCCCCTCCGGCCGAACCTAGTGTGAATGGGGCTGTCATGTTCTCCCTTTACACGCATTTTGTACTTGGTTGAAAAGTAAGATTTATGAAGTTGTGACGAGGTTTTCAGTATGTGGCATTTCTGTCATTCCAGTTGTTCAGAAGAACCAGTCTACTTTCTTGATTTTTTTTTTTTAAATGTCTGTTGTACATCCTTTAGTTTTGTCTCCAAAGTACATTTGGAATCTGGCTCCTACTTAGCATATTCACTGCTCTGACATAGCATAAATCCCCTTCTTCCTTTACCTGGAAGCTGCATTAACCTTCCAATCCCCCAGCTTTCCTTTCTTAAGTGTACATCATTCCATGTTGCTTAAAACCTTCAGGTGTGCTCTCATTAGGCCTGCAGGGCCTAACGCCTGCCTTTGAGTCCTGCATAGTTTGGCCCCCAGGATCCTTCCCAGCCTCACTCTGCCTCCTCCGCTGCACCGCTGGTCTGTTTGTTTCTGAAGCTCACTTTCATTCCCATCCTAGGAAGTTCTTGCTCTTTCTTTCGCCCCAAACATGGTTTCCAAATCTTTGTAAAGGAGGATTTCCTTATTTCTAGTTCTCGTGTCAGATATCACATCCTCAGGGAGGACATTTCCAACCACGCCAGCCAACGGAAATGTTGACTATAGATAGTGTTGGATGTATGGAATGATATATAATGTAGCTGAGTTGAAAATTTAAGGCTGACTCACTTTGTATCTCTTGGGAAGTAGATCTATAGTGATGATTTTTTTTTTTTTTTTCCCAGTACGGGTGCTCGAACTTGGGACCTTGCACTTATGAGGCAGGCACTTAAGCGGCTGAGCAATCTCCGCAGCCCTGTTTTGTTTTGTTTTTGAAATGGGAGTTTCTTATCTTGCCCAGGCTGACCTTGAACTTCTAGTTCATGCGATCCTTCTGCCTGACTCCCCGTAGGGGGCACATCACCACACCTGGCTTCTATAATGCTTTTCCTGCCTAAAATCTATGGAGCAGATTCTGATTAGTTGACAGTTTTCATGTAAAATCAGCATGGCTCACCAGCAAGCTATTGTTGGAAGCTGGAATCTGTACTTAAGTTTTTATTTGCAGTGCTATGAGATTATTATCTATAATTCTACATCTCATTTAATCTCTTCTATAGGATTCAAGATGGATTAGCATCACACTTTACTTCTTTAACAAAAGTTCTTTATGACTTTAATAAAGTAGTGGAGAACGGTGGCATCCCTGGAAGTCGTTTACAGAAACTTGTGATAAACAATTTTGATGATGAGCAGATTTGGCAACAACTGGAATTGCAAAATGAACCAATTTTACACTACTTTCAGAATGCAGTTAGTGAAACAATTAAAGATGAAGACATCAGTCTTCTCCCAGAGAATGAAGAAGTGGAGTGTGAAGAGGATGGTTCAGAGGTGGCAGCCGTTAGTCAGGAGGACCTAGAACAAGATTTGGAAGAAGAAGAAATGTCAGAGACAGGTGATGATAATCCTAAAGGGAGTAAGCGAGCTAAAAACTCAATCATAGCTGATCTTCAAGAAAGCCCAGTTTTCAGTGATGAAGATTCTGATCTTGACTTTGATATCAGTAAATTGGAACAGCAGAGTAAAGTTCAAGATGCACTTCCCAGGAAGCCAAAGGAAGAGTCCATAGTGGATGATAAGTTCTTTAAACTATCTGAAATGGAGACCTTTTTAGAGACCATAGAAAAAGGAGAGGAGGAAAGAGAGGAGGGTGAAGAGGACGACGATGACATTGACTTTTTTGAAGACCTTAATTCTGATGAAGATGGAGAGCTATTTGAAAATCAGAAACGTAAGGTAAAGGTTTGGGAAAAAGAAGAGAGAAAACTAGCAATTACATTTGTTAAGAGATACCAGTTCTGGTAACTATAATTAGCTAGTAGTGTTAAAGTCAGAAAACACTGTGTGTGTGTGTGTGTGTGTGTGTGTGTGTACGTACAATACACATGTTTCTATATATTTTCTTTGCCAAAAAAAAAAAAAAAACCCTAAAAAAGTGCTGGGAATATAGCCCAGCGGCCTAAGTGCCTGCCTGGTCTTGAGTTCAATCCCTGATACCACCCAAAAAAATAAAAATCTATATTCTCTTACACTTAATGTATTTTTACATCTTTTTATTTTAGTCAGGAAAAAGTTCCAGAAATCTGAAATACAAAGATTACTTCGATCCAGTTGAGAATGATGAAGGTAAATCAAATATTTATGATGACGAGCTGGGTTCAGATGAAGAAGAGGAAGAATTTGCTGGAGAAGAAGCAGATGAAGAAAGCATTTCAGAAACGTGAGTATTTTTAATCTACGCTATAAATTGGAATTGCCCGATTAGGCATGTTTACTCATAGTTATGAAATAGCTTGTCTTAAAATGTTAAATCAAATATTCTCTACTATCAGATAGTTTCAAGATGGACAAAAGCATGTCTTTGAATTTAAGGGACAATAGGGATGATTTGATAAAGAAAAATATCACTGAAAGTCATAGGGGCCGGGGAGATAGCTCAGTAGAATGAGTGCTTGCCTGGCAAGGGTAAGGGCCTGAGTTCAATCCTCAGTTCTGCCCTCCCAAAAAAAAGTAATAATGAAGCTTTAATTACAAGGAAGGTGGTTGATTTGGGTCCTGTACCAGTACTAATCCCTAATGTTATTTTTGTGAGTAACATTAGAAAGACGTTTTTAGTATAGATTGCTGAAGTAATTTATTTGTGTCCATTGGGCAGTTTTGTTTTATTTTTTGCATAGCATTTCACCTCCATAATTCCTTCTGCTCTTTAATAATTTAATGGCTTTGGAGATGCCAAATATTTGGTGGTGTTAGGTGTAAAGACCTTTATTGAAAAAAAATTTTTTCTAGTGAAAAGTGATGATTTTCTTGTGATATGCATTTTGTTACTTTAGGGATGACGATAATGACCTGGAAGAAAGTGAAGAGGATAAACAGCATAAAGAAGGCTCAAAGAGAGTGACTTTTGCTTTGCCAGATGATGGGGAAAATAAAGATACAGATATGTTAAATGTAAAGGAAGATTTTGATGAAAATAAATCCTCTTTTGAAAAAAGACAAGAGAAGGTAATTATTAGGAATTTAAGAAATATATGCTTTACCTGACTGGTACTCACACTGACTGTGCTGATTTTCTACTTGAAAATCCTAGATGGTCCTTAGAAACAAAATGTTTGCAGCTATATTCTTCAGTGTGTTATATTTAGATGCCATGCTGAAGGCATCTGATTTGAAAAGGTTAGCAACGCATTTTCTAGCCCATAGCTTACAGTTTGAACCCAGGTGTAGAAGCTCTTTGTCTTTGTGCCTGATGTCTTCAGACCCATGGATTGTCTGTCTTGCTTAGCCATCCTGTGAGTCTCCCCCTGGATTTGTTTCAGCACCCTGAAAATCTTTTCCATCTCTTTAAGATGCCATGGTATTTTTTGCAGTTTGATTTTTGTTCATAAACTGTATCTACCCCTATGTCCTTACGATTTCTATCTACTTTCTCCTCCAGAAGATTTAGTGTTTCAGTTTTAATATTTAAGTCTTTGATCCATTTTGAATGTAGTCTTGTGCAAGGTGCTAGGCATGGGTCTAATTGTAGCCTTTGGCATTTGGAAAACCAATTTTCCCAGCACCATTTATTAAAGAGGCTACCTTTCTTCCACTGAAGATATTTGGCCCCTTTGTCTAAGATACATGTAGGCAGAGAATGTAGTTGTGTCTTCATCTTCTAAACTGTTCCACTGATCCTCAGGTCAGTTGTTTTGTCTTACCATATTGGCTTTATTATAGTAGCTTTGTAGAATAATTTCAAATCAGGGGTTGTGATGCCTCCTGCCTTGTCTTTGTTTCCCAGGATTGCCTTTCTATTCTAGGTGGCTTCTGTTTCCAAATAAATTTTGGAAATATTTTCTCTGGATCTGCCAGGTATGCTAGTGGTACTTTGATTGTGAGTGCATTAAATTTGTATAATAGTTTTATAGTATGGCCATTTTTGCAATGTTGGTTCTTCCATTCCATGAGCAAGGGCGATCTTTCTGTTTTCTGAAATCCTCCTTGATGTCTGTTTTCCAAGTACTGTAATTTTCATTGTACAGATTTTTTACTTCCTTTGTTAGATTAATTCCGAAGTCTCATTTTTTGAATGCTGTTGTAAAGAATGTTGTTTCCCTAATTTCACTCTCACTGACACACAAACTTAACTCTATGATTCTGGCTACAAACTGAGTGAGAACTGAGTCAAACTTCCCTGTAGGTCAACATTGAGTCTCACCATTGATTCAGTTCTCTTCCAATTGGCTTTGTGACCAGAATCACAAATAGTTCAAGGTACCACTCTGATACAAAAATCCAAACTACCACAAGGAAAGAATAATACCACATATTATTGACCTATACTTCAGATTCATTCGGTATTCTAACTTTAGAATGCTCTAATAATTAAAGTTGACAATGACTTGTAAATATCTAGATCACGTGAATAGGAGAGAGCCCAGAAATATGCCCAGATGCCTCTGAGGGAGTCTGGTGCCTGAAACCATGGCACTTCACATCCGTGGGGAGATTGTCTGTGACTCCTTAGGCAGGAGGAAGCAGTTACTGGTAGAATAAAAAGGTGCTAGGAAAAAAGCAATTGCATTGCAAAATAATGCATTTCTTGTTCTTCCACTTTTTACAGTGTTGTTTCCCACAAGTAAAGGACTAAATTTATTTTCTACATAGATGTATAACTCTTTCATTTCTTTCTTAGATGAATGAAAAAATTGCATCTTTAGAGAAAGAATTACTGGAAAAAAAGCCTTGGCAGCTTCAGGGGGAAGTGACGGCCCAGAAGCGACCGGAGAACAGCCTCCTGGAGGAGACGCTGCACTTCGACCATGCCGTCCGCATGGGTACGGTGCCCCTGGCTTCTGCAGTCTTCCACTCTGTTTCTTTGGTGGTTGCACTTTGCAGATTTGGCCGATATTTCTTTCTCTTTTTATTTTAGGGGTGAGTGTGTGTGTGCGTGCGTGCGTGCGCACAGGGTCCCACTATGCAGCTCGGACTCAGCGATCTTCCCAATTTTTGCCTCCCTAGTGCTGGGATTACAGGGATGTGCCATTGTGCCTGGACTCCATCGCACCTGGGGCGGAGCTGGCGTGGCATGTGGTACCAGGGATCGAACCCTGGTCCCTGCACTTACCTAAGTCCCTTTTTATTTTAAAAACTTTCAAGCATGCAGAAAACATGAAAATAATATTATAGTGAACATCTATATGTTACTCAGCTACATTCACCGGTTGTTAACATTTTGGCATCATCTGCACATGTGCGCTTTTGTGTGTGCTTGATTTTCTTCCAGATCATTTCTGAGTTGCTAATGTGTTAGCACTTGACTGATAAGCACATTTATTTATCTTCTGAGAACCACGATAACGGTAATATAAATGGAATATCATACAAGTCCTATGATATACATATAATATTATGATATATGTGTGTCTATAATGACATAATATTGTATATCTTTTCCATAATCAGATCTCTTATAATGCTTTGTTTTTTCTTTTGTGTGTGTGTGTTTAGTCCAGGGTCTACAGGGTCTCACTATGTAGATCAGACTCATAGTGATCCTCTTGTTTTCAGCCTCCCAAGTGCTGAGATTACAGGCTGAAAGCACTGAGATTGCATCTTTAGAGAAAGGGCTACGATTACAGGCATGCGCCACCACACGCAGTCTCCGTGTGCGCCGGGGGCACGGCCAGCATGGCATGCTGAGGATCAAACCCAGTTAAAAGCAGGCACTCTAGTCTGCTGAGCTATCTGGCCAGCCCTCTTGTTTTTAATGGTACTGGGGATTGAACCCAGGCTTTTTGCATTTAGTTAGATCCCAACCCTTTTACATTTTTTACTCGTTTATTTTGCAACAGGGTCTCTAAGTTGGTAAGTTGCCCAGGCTAGGTTCAGACTTAGACTCCTCCTTCCTTGGCATTCCAGAGTACTAGGATTGCAGGCATGGACTACCTTACTGCAGTTCGGTCTTGTGTTGTTTACAAGTGTCATCCTGTTAACCATTGCCTGATGATATTGTGAACTTCAGCCCAAAACCCTAGTCATATCATAAGGATATTTCTTAAACCCATTAAGATCAAATGAATTTCTATTTTATTTCAGAGAATGGAAAAGAAGGGGAAGTCTCCAGGTGCATGGGATAGGAATGGTAGCAGTTAACAGTGTGTTCTAGTTTTATGATTCTCAGGCTTGAGGGAATGTCAGAAAGCGCATTGACACACATAACTTGCCCTCCCCTGCTTCTGCTTCAGGGATTGTATGGTTGGCCCAAGAACGTTCATTTCCAGCAAGTTTTATCGTGTTGCTGATGCTGCACGTCCCGGGACGCTGCTGGGCGACTCCACGTTTGTGTGCACTTTCCTAATCCAGGCCCGCTGTGACTCTTTCAGCTCCTGTGATCACAGAGGAGACCACCCTCCAGCTAGAGGACATCATTAAGCAGAGGATAAGAGATCAGGTCAGCACGAGTGAAACTGCACTTCAGTTTCACTCAGAGTTTAGAAATGTGAGAGTACCTGGGGAGTAGGAGTAGTGTTCTTTTCCTTTCCACTTAACGGCATTGCTCATTTCAAAGCCGGAGGAGTGCCCTGGAGAGCTGGTGCGGTGGAGTGCTCTGAACTCCCAGCTTCTCTGAAGGCTGAGGCAGGGAATTGCTACTTTAGAGTGAAGTTTAGGTGTATGACACACACACTAAGAAGTGGCTTTTAAATTTGTGTGTGACATTTGGCTACATGTGTGTGTCTAAAACAGGGTCTAGAAGGGGAGGTACAATATGGAGAATATCTTGCTATCTGAAATGACAGAAAATAAAGATAAGACTTAAATAAGGCACAATGGGGAAATGTGGAATCAAAATTGGTAACTGAGCAAAGGATGTTTAATTGAAAAGCAGAGAAAAATAATTGAGCTAATGCCCACTTTGGTTTTCTTAATGCTTATTGTTGGAGACTTGAAAAGTCATTTCTAAGTTGAAAATTACTTTCGTTTCGCTACTGTCCAAGAGCCTAGCATAAATTCCCCCTTCTCTTTACTTGTGTTCTGCCCACCATTTCTTTTTCAGGCGTGGGATGATGTAGTACGGAAGGAAAAACCTAAAGAGGATGCGTATGAATATAAGAAGCGATTAACCTTAGACCAGGAGAAGAGTAAACTGAGCCTTGCTGAAATTTATGAGCAGGAGTACATGAAACTCAACCAGGTAAGGGGGCCTTAAGGGAAAGCTATTATTATGAAAGGAGCCGAGAAAACAGACTTGTTGTGACTGCTAGAATCCCGAGAGTCTTGAGCTCTGGCCACTTCATTGAGGTGGGAGACAGAGCATGCAGCGCAAGGTCCTCATGTGCCCGCTGGAGGTCGAAGGCCTGGGAGCCTGCCTTGCGCTCAGACCGTGGACGCCTTGTGCTGGCACAGCCAGCTCGTGACTGTCTAGCTATATTATGCAGTGCTAGCATTTTGAATAGTTTCTCAGTGATATTTTGAAGTTACTGATGTTTTTGGTGTAGTTGTGAGTTCATCCTTGTTTTTAGATGTTAGAATGATCTCTGACCAAAGAGTAGAATAAGAAGATTAAGTATTGAATTGCTGCTTTACGTTGGTTTTATTGATAATGTGGTCAATATATGCTTGGGAATTAGATGGATTTTTGTTCTGCTAAGCCATGGAAGGTTGCTGTGAGTTTAAATAATAATGCTACCTAGGCAGCAACCGCACACAATGCGCTGCTGCGATGGATGTGGAAGAAGTGGAGATATGTGTATTAAAATTCTTCCAAATGAACAACCATTTTGTATCTGTATACTGAAAATAGGGTAGATATACAGCTCCATTCTCTTAATTCAATGAATAGAGAGGTTAGTTCTAGTAGTGTTTGAGACAGGATATCAGGTCTGCGTCTTGTACAGTGAATAACCACTAAGACAACAATATGCAATGTATTAATTATTGAAAATGTACTAGTAATCAGCTGTGGAAAAAAGAATAAATATAGGAGTTCACAAATATTTCAGTCCTTTTTACCCTTTGTGAACACATACAAATTCAAAATATTTTCTGCTTTACTGTATTGATGATGTGGTCATACTCAAACTCTAACAAGTTCTTGGAGTGTGAGAAGAGGATTATTTTGATTCTAGCTGCAAGTGCCAATATATTTGAATTCACACAACTATACCTGGAATAGAAGGCCACCTGTATGTACAGAAGGCCATCTGTATGCATGTTAATATTTATATATCTGTAAGTAAGAACAGTTCTTATTTGTTCAGATTCATTTTCTTGGAGTATTTTTTTTAGTATATTTTTAAAAGAAACTTGTATGTGGGAACAAATAGTGTAGTTATTCTCATGTAACCTTTTCAGATGTGTATAAACAGCATGAATTCCTTTGTTTTTTTGCTTTATTTTAAATCTGAGATTTACCTTTTCAAACTGTTAATTTGGCATAATGTTTTTAAACAGTATACAGTACTGCTAAAAGTACTTTTAAAAGTGGAATTTTTACAAATAAATTATTAAAGTTTACTTTCTACACCAAAAACAAAACAAACAAACAAAAAAAAACCCCAACAACTTCCTGGCTGCCTTATACCAGGGCAGTAGTTAAAGGGTGACGTAGGCAGCATCAATCGGTGATTATCAAACATCTTCTGTTTTAAAGAGACTCAGAAAATGGAAAAGTGTTTGTTAACCGTAAGAGGCAATCAAGTTTATGCCAGTTCTGTGAGAGTAATCTTATTTCCCTGTTAGAAGCCAACAACCAGTTGAGTTTTGAAGTTTGCACAGACTTGGAGTTCTAGTGTATCAATTAGGTAACTAATTCTAAACCCATCCCATTTTGACATAGTTTGGGGCCAAAGATCAGTGTCTCCTGAAGTTTGTTTTTTGAGCAGGGTTTCTGTGCAGTTCAGGCTGGCCTTGAGCTCACTTTGTAGCCCAGGTTGGCCTTGAACTCTCAGTGATTCTTCTGCCTCAGCCTTGTGAATGCTGGGATTACAAGTGTGTCCCACCATGCGCGGCTCTCAAGTTTGATACTGTACTAGAGGCAGTAAGCAAAGTGATGGCAGACAATAGGAGTGACCTCACAGTTGTATATGTGACATGGATCAGGAAAATCATGTCAAATACATGATTTCACAGAGGTCACTGCCTAGTGAGGTGAAAGGATATGTTCAGGCTGGTTTCTGTGGTTTTTTTGTTTTTGTTTTGAGATAGGCCTTGCTGTGTTGTCCAGGCTGGTCTTAAACGTTTGGGCTCAAGGGATCCTCTTGCCTCAGCCTCTCCTGTAGCTGAGACTACTGGCACATACCACCCACGCACTGTGCCATAGGAGTTTTTAAAAAGTGACTTAGATTCAAATAGTAAAAGCTGTAGCAGTATGGTACCAGGAAGTGGCTGGGCTGCGAGTGTGTATTTTTGTTGTCATGGGAAAAGGGCTTATTCTTCCTGGTTCTATTTTTAGTCCCTACCTTGTCATTAAAAAAAAAAGAAAAGCAAAAAGTTACTGTAGCTTTTGGGGCAGGGAAAAAGTAAGAAATGTACTGTTTCTTCTTAGTAGAATTAAAGCTCCTGCTAGTTCTTTCCATGTGATTAGTCAGTACAGATTTTTAACAAGTGATGTATACATGAAAGGGGAAAAGTGCCTTGGTACTTGGATTGTTATGTGACGTCTACGTGGACACTTTCTTCTCTCCCTCATTGACGTAATGTGCACATGATCTGAAATGCACCCAGGAGCATTTAGTACAGTGCCTTGCAAGCACAGCCTCGGTGTAGTCCGGAGACATTGTACGGCCTCAGAAGCCCTGCCGCCAAGCCGTTGCCCCACCCCCAGACCCCTGCACTGTGTCCAGCTCTGGGCTTCCCTGTGTAGGGTATGGGATACGTGATGGCATTATTCTCACACAGTGTAACGTTTTCAGTTGTGTCATGTCGATGCTTGCTTTCATGTAACTAGAGAATACTGTGCGTATAGATGTTCCACGGCATGTTCTCTCTTCCACTGATGGGCATTTGGCGGGCTGTTTCCAGCTCTGGGGCATTGCACATGTATTGAGTGCCTGCTTTAATTTTCTTGAGTATGTGTCTACAGCAGGACTGCTGATGCTGTTCAACCTTTGGGGAGCTGCCACACTTGCTACACTGCACCACACCATTTTACCTCCCTACCAACAGTGCAGAGGGTTCCATTTTCTCTACTTCCTCACCAACACGTTATTTTTCCTCTTCAAAAAAACTTTAGCCTCCTACCAATTTGCTTTGAAACTGTCTCATTGCTATTTGTTTATCAATAAAATTATGGGGGAAAAAGAAACTTTAGCCATCTTGCTGGGCATGGTGGTGCATGCCTATAATCCCGGTACTTGGGAGGTTGAGGAAAGAGGAATTGTGAGTTTGAGACCACCCTGGGCTACAGAGTGAGCTCAAGGCCCATTGGAACTGCATAGTGAGACCCTGCCTCAAAAAAGAACTAAAAAAGAAAGAAAGAAAATAGTGGCCTTCTTAAAGGAAGTGGATTACTTGTTGACAGAAGTAAATACAAAGAGGTCCTGGGGAGATAGCTAAGGGGTGCACCAGCCCCAAAACCAGGCGTAATGGTGCATGCCTCTGATTCTAGCCATTGGGAGGCTGAGACAGGAAAATCACTCCCGAGTCTGATCTGCATACTGAGTCACTGTGCTAAATAAATAAATACATGATTTTTAAAACAAATTTTTACAAGAAGTAAACACAAAGGGAATTAAATTATAAGATCTAAATGTCAGGTGACAGGTAACTAAGGTTCTAAAACACATAGTTCGTGTTTTCCTCGGTAGGTGCTGGCCCCATCATGGTGCTGATACCTTTGGCTTTACCCTTTGAATGTTCTTTGTAGGTAAGGCCGTGGTGCTGAGAGCCCTGAAATTGGGAATACATTCTCTGGGTTTTGTCTGTGATACATGCAAAGCCCCTTTGTGTGATGTTGTTGAACTTATTTCTTAAGCAAAAAACTGCAGAAGAAGAAAATCCAGAGCATGTAGAAATTCAGAAGATGATGGATTCTCTCTTCCTAAAATTAGATGCGCTGTCAAACTTCCACTTCATCCCCAAACCGGTAAGCGTGGGATGCGGTGAGTATGTGAGCGGAGCAGCTGTGATGTTAGCACTGAGCTTTGTCTGGGAGAGGGGCTCATAGCTTGGTTACAGGGTGAGAACCCCTCGTGAGTCCCTGTGAGTACAGGTGGAGCTCCTGTGAGGAGTACTCATTTTCAGGTCCTTGGTGACCCTGTCTGTGCCTGCCGACACAGCCTGACCTCCAGTGGTGCCCTGGGCAGCCCTTGCCTCGGGACCCTGGTTTTCACTGTGTGGTGCCTGCTATGTGCCATCTTAGGTCCTCTATGTACATTGATGCTGTTTTGTCTTGAAAGTTTTCTGTGAGACACTTTCCTGGACTACTCTTGGCTCAGCCTCCCTAGTAGCTGGGGCTGCAGGGACCATGATGATACCTACCTAATCACGCATTCATTCTTTCTTGGAGAGGGATGTATTGAACTCAGGGCCTTCGCACTGAGTTACATGAACTTTATTTATTTATTTTTTTAATTAATTTATTTATTTATTATTTGTGTGTGTGGCCAGCTCAGCCCACCAGGGGGTGGGGCTGGCTGGCATGTGGTGCTGGGGGATTGAACCGCGGTCCCTGTGCTTTGCTAAGCTTGTTCTAAGTAGGTGCTTTAGACCACTGGGCCATCTCACCAGCCCATGAACTTTATTTTTAATTTTGATATTTTTGTTTGTTTCTTTGAGACAGGCTTTCACTATATAGCTCAGGCTGGTCTTGGACTTATTTTGTAACCCAGGCTGGCCTCAAAAGTGCAGTGATCCTCCTGCCTCAGCCTCCCAAGTGCTGCAATTATAGATGTATGCCACCATGCCTGGCCCTATTTTTATTTATTTAATTTTTTTATTTATTTTAATTATTGTGGCCGTGGTGCTGGGATCGAACCGCGGTCCCTGAGTATGCCTCAACTTGGCTAAGAGGCATTTTAGACCACTGATCTGTCTTGCTGGCCCTTATTTTTAATTTTAAGACAGGTTCTTGGTAAGTCACTAAGTTGCCCAGAATGAACTTGAACAAAACACTGAAACAGATATAACTATTTCATTTGCAAATGGAGGCTTAGGACTTGTTGGAGTTAAAATAATTAGTACTTGGCCCTTGCTCCTACCTCCTAAGCCTGGGTTTGCTTATCTGCAAAATGGAAAAACTTAGTTGTGTCTTCTTCTGGCGTTTTGTGATTAAGAGCTGTTGTATGGGGGCTGGGGCGATAGCTTAGAGGCATAGGCACCTACCCGGCAAGTGCAAGGTCCTGAGTTTGATTCCTGGCTCCCCATATGCTGTACCCTGCTGGGTATGCTACGCTAGCCTGAAACAAACTGGATGTGGTGGCACACACCTGTAATCCTAGCACTTGGGAGGTTGAGACAGGATTGCTGTGACAAGGGGGTTGCTATGAGTTCAAGAGCAGCCTGGGGGGCTACAGAAGTGAGCCCAAGGCCAGCCCATACTGCATATCCAGACCCTGTCTCAAAAAAAAAAAAGCTGTTGTATGAAAATCGAGGGGGGAGGGAGGAATCAGGTGTGGTGACATGTGCCTATAATCTTAGGACTCAATCTTATAATTTTTAGGACTCAGTAGGCTGAGGCCAAAAGATTACCATGAGTTGTGGACAATTTAGGCTATATGGTGAGTTAAAGGGCAGCCTGAGCTACAAAAAAGAACTTATCTCAGAAAAGCCAAGTAGGGGCTGGTGAGATGGCTCAGTGGTCTAAAGCATCTACTTAGAACAAGCTTAGCAAAGCACAGGGACCACAGCTCAATCCCCCAGCACCACATGCCAGCCATCCCCGCCCCCTGGTGGGCTGAGCTGGCCACCCCCCCACACACATAAATGAATAAATAAATTTAAAAAAAAGAAAAGCCAAATAATTAAATAGCTGTTGTATAATTCACTTTTATTGCCTTTTTTAAAAATCAAAGTGGGATTTACATGAGAATAAGTTGTTGATGGCAAGAAACTTTCTTTTGATGGTGCTGGGGATTGAACCAGTAGCCTTCGCACCAGCTCAGTCCCCAGCCCTTCAGAGATAGGGTCTCACTAAATTGCCGAGGCTGTGCTCAAACTTGGGATTCTCCCATTTTTGGCCTCCTCTTGTTGAGATTATGGGCAGGCACTAGTATGCTTAGCTGAGAGCTGTTTTTAGATTCCCCAAGTGCCTAGAACTGGCTGGTGTGAAATAAACAATGAAGGGATGAAAATCTGAACCCCGGCTGGCCAGCAGGTCTTACTGTGAAAGTCGTTCTCTGCAAACCTCACAAGGCTTTCTGGGCCTTGCCGGGCTGTCTGGCATAGTTCCTTCCTGTCTCTTTGGCTTCCTAGTTTGCTACCCCGGCCACGTTGGTCTTCTAGTTCCTCAGCAGGCCGAGGTCCTCCTGACCCACTGGAGTTGCTCTCGCCCTGCCTCAGTGGCTGCTCCTCCTTCGCAGGCCGTCTCCTTACACCCGGCCCTTTCCTGAATGCAGGCTACCATGTCCTGCATTTATCCCCGCTCCCCCTTTGCTGCAGGGCACCCTGACAGGGCTCCAGTTGTCCTCAGGCCAGCCTACCGTGGATGTGCCATGCCCCTGCTGTCTGCCTTGCGCCAGCCCGTGATGTGGGGGCGCACTCAGACATAGTTTTGAGGAGTGAATGTGTTTGCGTCTTTGGTCTCCTTTGGAAAAGCCTTTCTTGTCTTTTCCTCTTGAGAAATGTAAATGGCCAGTAGAGATTCCCTTTGATTAATTCCTCTCCTTCTATTTAGGTCGGTGTTGTACACACCAGCTCACAGGCTGTTGGTTGTTGTTGTTACTGTATTGGACTATCTCCATTTGCTACACATTTCTCTTTAAATTGTACTAAGGGCACAGTATTCCTCGTGCATAACTGACTTGGCGTCCGGGAGAAGAAATGCTTGCTTTCACACTCTGACATTTTCTCTTACTTAGGATCCAGGCTGCCATATGTTTTGGGTTTTTTTTCCTTTGCGAGGTCGGTGTGAATGTTGCCCAGCACAAGGCTGCGATCGCGGGAGGCAGCAACCTGTCACCCTGCAGCCCCAGGCTCCCGCATCTTGTTCCCCTTTCCCATGCCTCATCCCTTCCCTGTGTCTGGCCCCAAAGGAATCTGAAGTCCTGCTCCTTTGTCCTCTGTCCCTCGGTGCCCCACCCAGGGAATTTTGAGAACAAGATAAAAAAGAATGCAGTGTAAGTGCAATAAAAAATTGCCACTGCCCTTTTATTACTGCGACTAAGCACTTGCTTAGGCAAGTGCAGGGGCCAGGTTTTGATCCCTGCACCGCACACCATGCCGGCCCCACCCCCGGCTGTGCTGGCCCACCGTGGAGTCCAGGGGTGATGGCGCACGCCTGTAATCCCAGCACGAGGGAGGCTGAGAACAGGATCACTGTGAGTCCAGGCTGCGCAGTGAGACCCTGTACAAGCAAAACAAAACAAAACACCTTTTATTACTGCAAGTAGTTGAAACCTGTTTTAGCTTTTGCATTTCTTGGCTGGGTCCTTCAAATAGGAGCAAAAAAAAAGGCTTTCCAGTTGGTCTTACATTCTTTTCTCCTTTTAAAGAGTAGTCTGGTAACATTTCATGTTTGTGTTTATGAAGACACGTTTTCAGTTACTGGAAGATTAAAACATTAAGTATCTAGTTTTAGGGCTGGAGAGATGGCTCAGTGGTCTAAAGCACCTACTTAGAACAAGCTTAGCAAAAGCATCAGGGACCGCGGTTCAATCCCCCAGCACCACATGCCAGCCAGCCCGCCCCCTGGTGGGCTGAGCTGGCCTCTCTCTCTCTCTCTCTCTCTCTCTCTCTCTCTCTCTCTCTCTCAAATAAATAAATAAATAAATAAAATTAAAAAAAAAGTATCTAGTTTTATTTATTCCCAAAGCATTTTTTTTTCCTCTTTCTCCATGTTTTTATTAAAGTTAGCTTTTGTTCTGTACCCACAGATAGGCAATATTAACAGTAGTCAGTGCATTTGATTAAACAGTAGGATTGTCTGAGGCTGTCCATGTGCATGGCTGCAGGTGTAAGTGGTGCAGATGAAGGAATTGGTGTTTGAATCAGAACTGTCGTGCACAGGGGTAGAAATAAATGCAATAATCTCCCTAAAGCATTTCATATATTTTATGCTTGGACCACTTCTGACTTGCCTTTAAATGCTTTGTATCCTGTAGCCGGTGCCAGAGATTAAAGTGGTGTCCAATCTGCCAGCAATAGCAATGGAGGAAGTGGCCCCCGTGAGCGTCAGTGACGCGGCCCTCCTAGCCCCTGAGGAAATCAAGGTAAGAAGCCCATGTCTGCTTACACGTTAGCTCACGGTAGCTGGGCCTCTGTGTATGTCACACTGTCTTCCTTGAGTTTGCAGTTTTTATTCTAATGTGTCTCAGCAGTTTCTTGGTACAGTCAGGCCTCCTTGTCTCTTGAGTCCCTTCTGACCATGGATCTAAATGACCACGGATGGGCAGTATTGAGATTATATGCTGAATGTATACAGACTTCTTTTGTCATTAGTCCCTAAACAATACAGTATAACAACTGTTGGCCTAACAGTTACACTGTATTAGATGTTATAAATGTTCTAGAGGTGATTTAAAGTACTAGACTAGGTCATGTGCAAATTCCCCCTCATAGAGGGAACTTGGCCTTGTGGGAAGTTTGGTGATTCTGGACCCAGTCTCCTCTGAGTGCATCACGTGGCTAAATCAAACCAATAATGTTGAAGTACTGAGAAACCTGTCTCCTGGTTGGGCATCATGGCATAGACCTGTAATGCTAGTGGTCTGAGAGGCTGAGGCAGAAAGATCACAAATTCAGCCCACCGGGGCAATTTATCAACTTAGTGAGACCCTGCCTCAAAATTAAAAGTCTCCTATATACAAGCATTGTTATGAGTTGCAACTATGAGTATTAATAAGTTTTTCAGTAGCCTCCGGTTATTGCTTTAATCCAACATGAATACCAACAGATGTCATTTTAAGAAAATTGTTTTTATTGTCACATAGCATCAGTACTTTACATCAGCATTTCCCTGCTTATTTCGTCTGTGTGACACTTAGCTGCAAAGAAATCTAGAGTAGAACAGAGCACTGGGATGTTAAAAGAAGTTGGACTCGGCAGGTGCAGGCCACAGCGGAGCGTCCGCCTTGTCGGCGACGCGGCCCTGTCCTCCTGACCGTCTCAGCAGCAGGCCATCTTCTTTCCTCTTAGTTGGTTCCCTGCACTGCAGCCACCCCTCCTGTCAGAGCCTCTGTCACCTCTGCGTGTGACAGGCCTGGTAAGGCTTGGTGATGGGCGGCAGGTGAGGAGCAAAGGGCAGGAGAGTGGTCCTCTTTTCCCTCACCCTGTTCCTGGGTCTCCAGGGACAGCTGACCTCAGCCCCTCAGAGCCTGTCATTAGCATATAGTGCTGAGATGGCCTCTGCGACATCCCTGTTGCCTGTGCCCATGTCTAAATGTCATCGTGCGCTCGTGTCACTGGAACTGAACTGAGACCCTAGCAGCCCACACTGCCTTTGGGTCACCCTGGGCACTGAACTGTCCCTGCGAGTTGGTTCTGTCTCCTCACCATGGGACGTGGACATAACGGCTGTTGGCTACTGTGCGTGCAGTTTCCTGTTCCAGTTCCCTGAGGCTAGTATATGAGATTAATTGGTATGTCTTACTTTAATAGGAGAAAAATAAAGCTGGAGATATAAAAACAGCTGCTGAGAAAACAGCTACAGACAAGAAAAGAGAACGCAGGAAAAAGAAATATCAAAAGCGTTTGAAAATAAAGGCAAAAGAGAGGCGGAGAAAGTTGCTTGAGAAGAGCAACCCAGATCAAGCCGGGAAGTGCAGCAAAGCGGTCGCCTCGGAGAAGCTGAACCAGCTGACCCGAGCCGGCAAAGCATCCTTGTTAAAGGCAAGTGCGCGCGTGGAGGGAGAGCTGCTGGGGGCTGGGGGGCAGCAGATGGCCAGCTGAGGAGCCGGGGCTCATGCAGCCGCCGGGGAGATGCAGGCTGCTGGCTGGCGGCGAGCGTGGCCTCAGAGCCCCTCCGTAACCCAGGCCTGGTCCTGCTGCCTGCCTTCGCCTTCTCCCGGCAGTTCCAGGAATGTCCAGCAGCACAGGATGTGTGAAGTACCTTGATGCTTATGGTGCAGAGTGTAATGCCAGGCTTTTCACATTTATATTGGTGTAAATGTAAAATAAACACGTATATTGTACTTTCCTCACGTAGGTGCATTTTGTGACATGAGCATGTATCATTTTTAATTGTAGGATGAAGGAAAGGACAAGGCCCTGAAGTCGTCTCAAGCATTCTTTGCTAAGTTACAAGATCAAGTAAAAATGCAAATCAGTGATGCAAAAAAACCAGAAAAGAAGAAAAAGAAAAAACAGGATATTTCTGTCCATAAATTAAAGCTGTAATATATTTGAATGTCATGTACATATTAATGTGTAAGCTATTTGACTGTTCTGTTTTATAATAAAATTCCTGAGTACTGTCTTATTTGAGACTTCCACAGTATGATGACAGACACCAATCCGTGATTGCAAGGTGTGTCTTCGAGTCTCTGGGGGGAAGTGGGCCCTTTCTCCGAGGCCCTCCCTTCTGGGCTGAGGTGAGTCCTTGGAGCTCGGCCGAGGCCCAGGCCTAATGTAAGCACACTGGCCAGGAGCCAGAGCTGGCCTGGAGGCTGACCCGAGGGCACAGGGCCTGCCTCTTCCTCACCACTGTCTGCAGGAGAAGCCCCTTCTGGGGTCTTGATCTTTGTCTTTCACAATCCTGTTTTTTTTTTTTTTTTTTTTTTTTTTGCGGAAGCAGGGATTGAACTCAGGTCCTTGCGCTTACCAGGCAAGCACTTATTCTACTGAGCTAAGTCCCTGACCCCAATCCTATTTTTAACTAAGCAGAATTTTCATGTATATGTCTCTGTCCTTCCCTTGGGAAAACGATCCATGTCCCCTGAGTAAAGCGTTAGTGTAGGCTCGAGTGCTGTGCGTAACCGGCGCAGGGAGGACAGGTGTGCCTGCAAGGGCATGCAGAGGCTCGTACAGCTTGGAGGGGAGCCTGGCAAAGTACAGAGGCCCACCTGGGACCACCAGCTGCTCATTCCAGAGCAGGTTCTAGCAGGTTCAGTTACGGACGTCACCTTGATCCATTTGTGTTGCTAGAACAAAATACCTAGGACAAGGTCATTTCTACTCAGTTGTGGAAGCTGGAAAAAGCCAAGATGAAGGCAGCAGCAAGTCTGGGCCCTCAGGGAGGTCACTGTTCCAGAAAGGTGCTGTTACTGGATGGAAGGGCTGCACTCGGGCCTTTGGTGAGGGTCCTAATCCGCTAATGGGCTCTGCCCTCAACAGTCACGTTCTAAAGTCCTTGCTGCTTAATAATACCACAGCGACCGTCGTGACTCAGGACAGGCATATTGGGGATTGCTGCCAGTCATGGCAAACCGTTCAGAGATGACTGGAAACTACAATCTCAAGCCCACTTCTCACCAAGTGTCAACACTAGTTAAACCTGACCACACAAACTGAGGTTTTAGTTTAGAAAAAAAAAAAAAAAAAAACCTTACACTTTAACGTCTTGTCCGAAAAGAAAAACCGATGTGCACTATAGGGTCACCACCACCGCTGACTCAGCTATCACCAGTCAGTATATAGCGGTAACTTGCAAGTTTTATTCAAAATAGAGCTCCCAGGGCCGGGGAGATGGCTCAGTAGAATAAGGGCTTCCCTGGCAAGCGCAAGGGCCTGAGTTCATTTCCCAGTTCTGCAAAAAAAAAAAAAAAATAGAGCTCACTAGGGCTCCTTTGTCTTCTTGAGGAATCCTCACTCTTCAGGGGTCCTTTATTAATTACATAGCCTTAGGAGTTGGGTGTGTGTGTGTGTGTGTGTGTGTGTGTGGTTCTTTTAAAATTCAAACTGCCAGTCCTCACTCCGCTGCCTTCCCTTACCCTTGATTATTTCCGTAAATTGTCAGGATCAGGATGTCTAAGTTGAAGTGACAAGTCATTTTACCTGGCCAAGCGCAGCTTGTTATGTGCAGAGTTGAAATCACTGTTCTAGGTGCGCTCACGGCTACTGGAGCGGTACCAATCCGTTCACTTTCTCAGTGTAGTGTTGTAGTCTGAAGGTCATAGTCTACACCACTGCTTCCAGGTGCTTCAGACAGCACCAGAGGTAAGCTGAACAAAACAGACTTCTACTATAGGCTCTTTTGTTTTTGTTTTCTGTCTGTTTTTGTCTTTTTTTTTTTTTTTCGGTGGAACCAGAGATTGAACTCAGGTCCTTGCACTTGCCAGGGAAGCACTTATTCCACTGAGCCATCTCCCTGGCCCCTTGTTTTTGTCTTTTTGAGACAAGGTCTTGCCCTGCACCTCAGGCTGGCCTTGAGCTCACTTTGTAGCCCGGGCTGGTGTCCAGCAGTGATCTTACTGCCTCAGCTTTCTGATTGCTGGGATGACAGCCCTGTGCCACCACACCTGCCTAGATTCCTACTCGTAAGAAGAATGCATTCCACATCTTGTACAGCAGTTAACCACGAGGAAGAATGTATGCAATGTGTGAATTATTGAAACTGTCCTACCAAAAAAAAAAAAAAAAAGAAGAAGAATGCATTGCAGGGGACTATTTACATACATCTATAAATTAAAAGCACAATAAAATATATAAGAAACTATCTTTGGCCTAAAAACACCAGTCTCCAGAGAGAGCGAGTAAGCTAAAAAGGTAACCATGGTTACCTTGAGTTGGGTCTTACTCTTTTGTTTTTCTGTGTACTTGTCCACATATGTATGTATATATTCTTAGGACTTAATTTTGTTAGTATTTGAATTTTATGAAAATAGAATACTATATATTTTTATAAGACTTGCTTTCTCACTTGCTTGGTTTCCCTCAAATTCATTCACAATACAGTCAGCCCTCAATATCTGTGGGCTCCATGTGAATGGATTCAACTAACCACAGAGAAGAACTATTTGGAAAAACAACTGCATCTCTACTGAGCATGTACATTTCTTTCTCATTTTCTAAACAATACATATAACCTTTACATGTCATTTACATTTTAAAGTACAAATCATCTAGAAATCATTTAATGTATGCAAGTATATATGTGCACTTGAGAACATTAAGTGCAGTAAATCTGACACGCAAGCTGTTTCTCTTACAGGAGAAGCTTATAAAGAGTAAAAGAAAAGAAGTAAGGAGGTCTTTCTCAAATAGGGAATGAAGAGATGGAGTGTTTTGCTCTATATCTGCATTCATTTTTAGTTGTTTCGGGAATACAAGTATGCATCTTTATCCCAGTCTGTGTAGAGTTCATATACCACTTCCAATAAAATGTAAGACACTAGAAACGGTTACATTCGCAGTCCTCGCGCTTTTGCTGTAGTTGCCCGTCTGCGAGGTTCACAAGGCAGTGCGCTTCTCGGTGTGAAGGGAGGGGGTGCTCAGCTTCGCTGCTGGAAGCCATAGGCCTAAACTGGAAAAGAAAGGAGATCGATCACTCGAGCCTCCGCTCGCCAAGCCTATGGGATCGAGATGTGGGAGATCGGCTGGGAATGCCTGGAGCGCCGCGGCGGAGCCGAGCGGGAGGCGCGTAGCGGGCGGCGGGCGAGGGTCGCGCGTCCGGGGTCGCGCGCGGGGGAAGGCCCGGGAGTCGCGTGGCCCGGGGCTCCGCGGCGGGGGGGCCGCGCGTGTCCGCGGCGGGGGGCGGGGCGGACGGCGTCCCGCGCCTAGAGAAGGCCCCCGAGGCGGGGGTTGGGGGGCTCTGCTCCGAAAGACCCTTTTTGCAGTCGGGAATTGTAGGTCTCGAGACGGCTCCAGCTCGGCTTCCCGCCGGCGCGCTCGTCCGCAGGCGCGGGGCGCGGGCAGCCTGCCCGGTGGCTTCCAGCCCGGCTGTGCGCGGGAGCCCCGGCTGCGCAGGCCAGTGGCCCGGGCCACGCTTGCAACCCGCAGACTCGTTTTTAACCCACAGATGTTCTGTTTTCTAGGAAGAAGAGCTCGCCTAAAGGATTAACATAAGATAACGTAGCATCTTCCCTTAGATTTGTTCAAGCCGGAAAAGTAAAAGTAAACCATGCCATCTTTCGCCTCGGGCGGCGCAGCGTTACAGCCTGGATCGCGTGCTTGACCCTAACGCTGTGCTCACGATGCCAGAAGGGAAGTCTCCCGACAGAAAAAGACCCTGTAGAAACTTGTCAGCTAGCAAAACTAAAAACAGTGCCTCTATTATTTCATATTTTAACAATGCACCGCCTACTAAACTTGCCTGCCCCGTTTGTAGTAAAATGGTACCCAGGTACCACCTAAACCAGCATCTCGATGAGATGTGTGCTGACGAGGCCACCGCTGCTCTGACTGGCCCAGTGCAAGGTGGCTTGAATTCAGATTCATCCACGGTCCAGGTAACCAGCTTTAGCTTAGAAGATGTAACACCAGAGACCTTATCTCCGCCAAAGAAAAGTTTAACTCCCAGCCAGAGTGGTTTGGTGGAAGTGGGTGTAAAACACACCAGTCCCTACTTTAAGAATCATGATGCCATAGTACGCAGAAACCAAGAAGAGTTGAAAAATCATAACGTGAAAACGATTTCTTTGGGCAGCCTGTCGTCTAAACTGTCAAGAAAGTACGTGAAGGCAAAAAAGTCTCTAGTTAAGAAGGAAGAATTTGCCGGTCATTATCCGCAGAGTCCCAGTTCCACAGCTGTTAAGAGCCTGGCGGGTGACAGTTCAGAAATTGAGGATAAGGATGAAAATTTGAATAGTTCTCAAAAGGAAAACATTTTTACCTGTGATTTGGTAAAGGAAGAGAATACTCCTAAATGTATGGTAAATACTAGTAAAATAATGGAAGCTGAAAGCCAAAAGGTTACCCAGGAATGTGAGACCTTAACCTTCAGCCCTGGCTTGTCAGATAAGGCTCTCTTCGGCTTTTCACCGGGTTTAACTCTTGGAAAGGATTTCAGGTCCACTTCAGAAGACGGGCGTGTGAAACAGAGTATCAAAAGAGGTGATGAAGGAGTTGAGAAACGTGAGTTGTGTAGTTTTCAAGAAGTAGAAGTCACTGTTGCTTCAGAAGTTAAAACACTGTTGTCAGTTGCAGAGGCAGAATCTGGTTCTACCAATGACAGTGATGGTTCTAAGTGGAGCGGCGTGCAGGGACTCGTGGAGGATGAGGGAGGCCCAAGGAATGGAATGGCCTGCAGCGTTCCTGTGGAGCTGGGACCCAGCTGTGGCGTTCCTGGCGGCACCCCTGGAGCACCAGACCATCCTTACTATCTCCGCAATTTCCTCATGGTCCTGAGTGCTGTGCTAGAGAACGAAGAGGACAGGCTGCTCTTTGACGACGGGGATAAGGAGGTTATAAACAAATTTTATCAGTTGTCAGGTACCTTAGCCTGTTCGCTTCTGGTGGGTTTCCCTTTTGCTGTCCTGATTTGGGTGCCATATGATGGGTGGTGCTTCAGTGGCCACAAGGAGTCACTGTGGTTTTGTGAGTTCTCCCTGGGCCGTCAGTGGATCAAGAGCCTCCTAAGATATGGGTTATATCGAGAAAGATAGTTATGTAAAAGAGAGGATTTTGTACCTGTTGATGCCTATTCCTGCAAGCAGTATATTAATTATAATGCAACCAGCCACTTTTCCTTTTAATGCAGTGGTTGTAAAGCAGCCTTGTCCAAATTTTTAAAAAATGCAGCATGACTTAAGAAACGAACTCAGCATATTGAGCAGGTAATCAGGTTTCCTGTTAGGTTGTTTTGTTCTCATACTCCATTTCCTCAAAAATGAAAGTAAAATCAAATACAGGAAAAGCAAGCCAGCTTGGGCCATACTTTCTTACCCTCATACTTCAGATTTGTGGGTTCTATTTGTTAAAGTCAAGTTGTAGAGGAATGGAAGCTTTCCAACTTTCATTGGTGCATCTAAAACTGCTGGTGTGTGCTTCAGTGCCTTGGCAGCCCATGGTGGCTCCAGGCAGGCAGTGCCTGTGTGCAGCAGAAGCCGCCCTTGTGTGGCTACGCACTGTCAGGGCCCTGCGGAAAGGAGTCCCTTTAGGACAGCACGCACTGCTGGGTGGCCGTGCTGTCCGCTTGGTGGCCATGTCTGACTCCTCAGTAGATTAAAAAGAATCCTGAACTTTACTACTATTTGCTTTAAATCCACACAGTAGAATTATTATGGTACTCTATGTATTATTTTTTGACCAGTGAACTCTACCACTCTGGATATGTGGTTATAAAGCGTCCACAGCTTGGCTTTTCTGTTCTCACTGGAATATGGATGTAAGAATGTCACACTGGCTTTTTTATCTGGAGGGGTTGCCGTTCATTGGTTGGGTGCCGATTGCGTTCATGTGATTGGGTAGTTGGTGACTCGACGCTTCCGTTTTATTGAGGAGTAGGACCAGTTTACCTTGTGCACCTTCAGCGTATTCTTACAGATGGAGACTCGCTTGCAGTGTGTCTTAGTGTGAAAATAACTACTGCTAATTGATTTTGCCTTTTTAAAGAACAAACTGGAAAGTGAATGTTGGACATTTTAGGACTATGATTATACCATTTTAGAGTTGAATTAGAGATAATTCAAGTAATTAAGGAAACAGACTAACCAGATTCAGGAGTTTAGTATAGATCACTGAGTTAGAAATGACTGTCTTACCAAAGATAGGCATATTTTTTTGGAAAAGTTTTTTCAGGTTATTTTTAACCCAAGTAGAATAACATACTGAACTAAAAGAGAACAAAATAACTAAAATTCTAAGTAGGGCTTCTCTGAGGGAGTAGAGATGTTGTCTAGAAAAGGATGGGACTTGATTTTAGTTTTAAAATGACCAGTAATTGTGGCCTGAGTGGAACTTTTTAAATGGATTAGGCTGTAAGCTAACATCACTTTATGTAAGGAAAGAAAGTGTATTGCTAGGGGCAGGGGAGATGGCTCAGTGGAATAAGCCCTTCCCTGGCAAGCACAAGGGTCTGAGTTCAATCCCCGGTTCCGGAAAAAAAGGGTATTGCTAATAATGTCTGTTTACTTACCTAAGGTTTAAAAAATAATAGAATGTATACATTGTGGTCTTTTTTTTTTTTTAAGAAGGTAATATTTTGCAATTTTTTATTAATTTTATTGCAGCTAGTGGTCAGAAGTTATATGTAAGGCTCTTTCAACGTAAATTAACCTGGATTAAAATGAACAAGTTAGAATATGAAGAGATTGCTCAAGACTTAACACCCGTGATTGAGGAATTGCGCCACGCGGGCTTTCTACAGACAGGTATGTGTGGTAGGAAGCTGTGAAGTGGAAATGTGGCCTGCCGGTCCCAGATTCTGCTGAATAATGGTGACATTCAGCTGATGGCAGCTACTGGTTGTGCCTGGAAAGTAGTAATTCCCTGTTTTTCTAGTTTTTATTCTAGGGTAATAATTCCTGTGATGCAAAAGCCGTTCGTAGCTTGGGCTAAAACTACAGTGGCACTCACTTACCGCAGAGATTATGTTCTAGACACCCGTGTGACAAGTAAAAATCAGCAAAGTAGCGACATTGTATTTATTTTAGTATTTATATTTTAAGACTTTATAAACCCCTCCCATGCTCTTATGAACCTTTCGCACACTTCTGAAAACACTTGTAATGTTCTTAACCATTTTCTAAACTTGTAAACTTAACCTAATTTTAACAACATATATATACTGTACATTACTACAAAATCCTGTGATATAGGGAAAAATCCGTGATAAATAATTTAGGTTAATATTTTTTGAAAACCTGTGAAGCAGTGAGTTCGTAAAAGTCAAACTGTGAAATAGTGAGGGGCTACTGTAATATGATAGCGAAGAGTTATCTTTGCTTTCCTGCCTGGCGCGGGTTTATAACCGTAAGGTCGCCTAGTATACCACAGAAGAAATACATTTCTCTTCAGCTTTTCCAGCAAGAACCCGAGTCACCTCATGCAGATTCCCGCCTTCATGTAAGCATAAAGCTGCCTTCTTGGCAGTCAGTATTGCCTCTGCAGTCTTCATCCGCCCCCATATGCACACACATACAGCTTTCATACCCTGATTGCCTGCAGAATTGTTTCATTGATTTAAACTCCTGTGAGTACTGGGGACTCTGTCCTCTCCGGTGAAGCCTGTGGTCTTACTATAGCATTAAGTACCTATCCGCACAGTGCTGTTTGGAAAATTAGCTGCAAGGATCATGAACGATGAGCGCTTTGGGCTCAGATTGCTGATGTTTTACACAAAGCAAGTGAGACCAGGTGGTTTCTTTGGAGTAGAGTTTGTAGTTGGGAACAGCAGGTAAAGAGGAACCTAGGGTCAGTGGCAGGGTGGGGCTCGGAAGGATGAGATGGAAAGTGCTAGGTGGAGATTCCTCCTGGCTCGGGGAAGGAGATTGACGCGTGTAATTGTTACTAAGCAGTGGCTTCTTGCACATAAGCGCGTTGTTTACTGTGGTGTGCGCAGGGTCTTAGAACTGTGAGCACACAGTGCACAGAGGGAGCATCATGCTGTTTGGAAGAAGACACCATCCGACCCTGAGAATATGGCAGAGACCAGCCGGTCTGACCCAGCCACGTGCCTAGAGCCTAGGGTGATGTCTGGGACCCAGAATGGCAGGGCGCAGCCCCGGCTAGAGTGAGCGAGCCCTGGAAGGCCTCCCAGCCTATAGCACATGGGCAGGGGGTGGGCTCGGGGAGAAGAGAGCTGGTGATCGGTGTCTTTGGCCTGCTTGGGCAAGGTCTCGTTGAAGATTTCGTGATGAGAAAGACAGGGAAAGTGTACTCCAGTAAGCTTTTAAACAGGACGTCCGAGCCGTAATGGCTATTCCTGTCTTCTTTGTTATAGTCATGTTGTCTTTTAGTTTTTAGTGAGAAATTTTCTTATTCTTGCCAAACTAGTTTTTGGTTTCAGTAAAAACTGTACAGTGAACTTTCATTGTCTATTGATCTAGCTAAGCTTTTTCCTCAAGTAAAGCTACAAAATACTTAAATTCTTTAACAGTTTAAATTTGTTTTTGTTCTTGTTAACTCTTTTAGAATCTGAGTTACAAGAACTCTCGGAAGTCCTTGAACTCCTTTCTGCTCCTGAGCTGAAAGCCCTGGCCAAGACCTTCCACCTGGTGAATCCCAGCGGGCCGAAGCAGCAGCTGGTGGATGCCTTTCTGAGACTGGCCAAGCAGCGTTCCGTCTGCACTTGGGGCAAGAGTCAGCCTGGAATTGGAGCTGTGATCTTAAAAAGGTTTTTGGCTATTCAAATGAAAGCATGTACAGCTTTGTCAGCTGGGCTGGGCCAAGGAAGAGTACCTGCCTAGCCTTGTAAGCCCCAAGTGTGATCCCCAGCATTGGGAAGAAACCAAAAAGTTCATAGCTTGTTACTTTATTATTATAGATTATTTACTTTTCTGAATTATAATTGTTTATTTTGGTTGGAATTAGATTGAAAAGTGTGGAGGAACCTTAATTATAGTACCCTGGCTTCTTTCTTTGCTTATTATTCAAAACTTACGTTCGAAGTCCTTTCTAATTTCAAGGACCAAGGAAAATCAGTAGGCAGTAGGACAGAGACAATGGGCCTTAGAAAGTTTTAACTTTGTTCTCCTTAGTACAGCTGTTTAGTCAGGTTTTTAAGTAATGAGTTTTTGTTGACATGTAGTTTTAATGCGCAAGGCCTCATGCATGCTAGGCAAGCATAACATTCTCAAGACTTTTTTACTTACACTAAAATCCTTTAAGATTGTACTTGTTTCTTCATTTTGATGTAATTACCAGCAGAATTTGAGAGTTTCCAGTAGATCCAAAGTAGGGCAGTTCCTGGTTATCTTTCTCTACTGCCCTCATGAGGATTAAAATGATGTTACTTGTACTTTTTCAATCCTGGTAGAGAATCACTGCTTGGTTGTCCATGTTTAATGTTTCCTCTTGCAGCCCAGGGCATCCCTGGGGCTCTGTCTGCTGATGGAGGAGGTGAGCAGTCCTCCTCCCTCCTCCCCCTCTTCTTTCCTTCCTTTGCACCTCTAAGGGGGATGTGCATGTGAGGCGAGTGGTTCTCCATTGAACTCCACCGCAGCCCTGAAGTGGGCGTTTTGGGCGGTCTGTAAGGTGAATGTACTTAATGAAATGGGAGCTTGTTGGGGATCCAGCTCTCCCCATCGGTCTCTGGCAATGCCTGAGAATGTTTTGATTGCTGCCACGGGAGACCTTGGTGCTACTGGAGGCCGGGGATGCCTCCGAGCGCCTGTAACTCCCGGGATGGGCCCTACAACAGAAAAATCATGCAGCCTGAATGTCAGGAGTGCTGGGCTTGAGGAGTCCTGCTATTGCTAGAGTAAATTGCTGGAGTTCAGGGCGCCCTCGCTGCTCTAGATCTAAACCTCCACGCTTACCTTGCAGGCATCCAGAATTGCACTGAATTCACTCTAGGATTACCCTGCCTCAGCCTTCCAGAGGGTTGGAATTATAGGCGTGTATCAGTATACCCAGGGTCATTTAACTTTACATTACCTGAAAATAATTTGTAAGATATGATATGCAAATGCTTCAAAACCAGAAAAGTGTTCCTGTGATGCACATTTTTCAGAGCTAAAGGCCTAGCCGGACAGTCACTACGGATCTGCAAAGGTCCCAGGGCTGTGTTTGCTCGGATCTTACTCCTGTTTTCATTGCCTGACTCTGTGGAAGATGAAGAAGGAGCTTGTGGAGGTCAGGGTCAGCTCTGTACTGTGCTTTTGGTCACTCTTGGCCGGGTGGAGTTTCCTACTTACACCATCAATCGGAAAACTCAAATCTTCCAAGACAGAGAGGATCTTATCAGGTAAGATCATGTTAACTCACCACAATGTCTATTAAAATTTAATGAAAGATTTTATCATTTTTCCTTCCAGGCAAAGAAATATTAGCTCCACAGCCAAATATGTTTTTTTTTTTTAATTATTTATTTATTTATTTGTGTGTGTGTGTGTGTGTGTGTGTGTGGCCAGCTCAGCCCACCAGGGGGCGGGGCTGGCTGGCATGTGGTGCTGGGGGATTGAACTGCGGTCCCTGATGCTTTGCCAAGCTTGTTCCAAGTAGGTGCTTTAGACCACTGAGCCATCTCACCAGCCCCCCAATTATGTTTTGAAGCATATAGTATTTAATTATCTTTTTGCCTTACTTGAAGGCATTTTTAAGTCTCCAGGGAGAACGTATGTGAATTTATTTTTTAATTTTTTTGTGGTACCGTGGAGTGCGCTCAGGACCTTCTGCTTGCCAGGCAAGTGCTTATTCTACTGAGCTATCTCCCCGGCCCTCGAGGGAGAATGTCGCACTGTGCACAGATGTAGGTCGCCAGAGGCAGCAGGCTCTGAGGCAGCACTACAGACGCGTCCCTCTTCTGCTCCCAGGCAGCCTTGGCGGGAAGCACTTGTGCAGAGACACTGGCCAAGCCTGCCTGTAGGTATTTCGTTAGCATGCTCCAGGCAGAAGAGGAGTGTTCTCCACTTAGTAAAACTTCCATAAATCTAGTAATAATTTGTACACAGTTTATTAGAGTAATGTATGTGGTAAATGCGAGGTTTTCACTAGTAATAATTTGTGTACTGTGTATTACAATTCCATACATGATATTAGGAATTTTCACTGATTTATATTAGTACTTGCATTGAATCAAAATATTACTTTGATCGGCAAACTAGATTTTGATAAAGAATAGTGTAGTTCTTCCAGAAAGAAAAGAAAAACACTTGGACTTCCTTTATAATAAAAATGATTTTGGATTTCTTAAAATGTCACGTTAGATTCTTGATTTAAATTTTTAACTGAAATTTAGCCAAAATGGATTCAGATCCTTGCTTTCGGGAAAGTTCTTTCAGCGTTGTATTGAGTAGCTCTATGCTTTAAGAAGAAAGTCACAGAGCTAACTGAATCAAAGCAGTACACTCATTTTCGCCCATTCACCTCAACTGTCAGGTAGCTCTTTTCCTTAATCAGACGTAACTTTCAGATTCTGATTCAGTTACTCAGAGTAACTTTCTTAGCCAAACCTCCAAACGCGAGTAGCTCTTCCAGTTTTGTTTTGTTTTAATGCGATACCAGGGATTGAACTCAGGACCTTGCACTTGCCAGGCAGGCGCTTATTCTTCTGAACTGTCTCCCCAGCCCCATGAGTAGCTCTTCTTACCCTGTTTTCAGTCGTCTCATGTTTTTTCATTGTTTGCAGGGGCTTTGTACTTTTCTTCTGTGTGGAGCTGTGTGCTCTGAAGCCAAGGTGCAGTTTCACTAAACTGATGGATTTTAAATCTACTCTGTGCCTCAGTTTCTTCCTCTATAAAATGGGGAGAATTAACAGTCTCTTACAGATAGGTGTAGCTACATGGATGGTACCTAGTAGATGTTAGTTATTTTTATAATGACTGTTCTGTTTGAGGGGTTCTGTCTGTAGTTCTGTGGTTGACAAAATATAGTTCATAAGTTCATAAGTGAGGGGACCCTGGCAAAAAAGTAAGTCATCACCTGTCCTTTCTACAAGCTAGGTGAGCTGTAATAAAATATTAAAACTCCCTTTGCAGTACAAAGGCCTTAGTATGTATATGCAGTTGGGTCTGACTGACTCGGGAAGGGTCATCAGATACAAAACCTGAAAATCTGATGCCTGGCCCAGGGGCCCCTTTTTGCTCACTTCTGTACTTGAGAGGATTGATCTTCATTATTCAGTAAAAATGAGTTGAGGGCCAAGTGCTATCCCCAGGTGGAGGGGTTGGGGCAGTGAGCAACATGGGGCCGTTGCCATGATGGGGTACATCTCACCACAGAGCTGGGTGCTCAACAGAGGGACTGTGGTGTCTGAAAAGTGGTGTAGCACCTGGGTCGGCCAGCCAAGTTCAGCCCCACGATGGAGAGTGGCAGGGCGTGGCCCCTGAGGTGACACTGGCCATGAGAGTTGAGAATGAGAAAGAGGAGCCCGTCAGGCGCTGGGTGCCTGCATCCAGGCAGAGAGGTGAGCTGAGGAGGTGGGAAGGGCTGGCCGAGGTGGAAGACCTCAGGGCACCCCTTCTAAAGCCCTGGTAGGCAGCAGTTCAGAGGGAAGTCACACGGACTGGGGCCAGAGGGGCAGAGGATGCTCAGCCGCAGAGCCCTGCTGCCGGACGGAGTCTGTTCTCTGAGCAGTCGGAAGCTTTCAAGAGGTTAGGCCAGTGAGCGACCAGTTCCTGTGTTTAACCAAAGCAGCCCACGACTGAGAGGAGAAACTGCAGAACGCTGTTTCCCCTTGGTGGAGGTGGTCCAGGTGAAGGATGGCCATGGCCGTCCAGACTAGGCTCGTGACAGGAGAAGTGAGACCGGTGACTCTGTCTGGGATAGTTTAGAGTACAAAAGACTGGTTTGTGATTAAACATAGGAAGAAGGGGGGAGCGGCTCAAGGATGGCTCTGGTGTTCTGCGGTGGGGTGCCAGGGACTGTGGGAGGTGGCACGGTCCTGGGGGTCAGTTTGGGGCTCCTTAGCTGTTTCACTAGTGCTGTTCTGTGTGGCCTTGGACATGCTGTCGGGAGCTCAGGAATGGGTCCAGGCTAGCTGGAGAACTGAGAGAGTCATTGGCCTGTGACTGGTGCTTCAAGCTGTGGCGGTGCATGAGGTGCCGGAGGGAGAGGAGAGCACAATTCCCTGGGCAGCCAGCCTTCAGCTCCCAGGTGGAGAGGAGCAGCAGCCAGGAGGCAGGAAGACACGTCAGCAGGCGCAGTCGACTCAGAAGCCTGAGAAGAAAGCGTCCCGGAGATGAGTGGTCACTCCCCTGAAGTTGGAGAGGCGGCTGAGGGAACAGGCTCAGAGCACGGTGCTCGTCAGGCTCGGCAGTTCCCCTTTTCTTACAACCTCAGAATCAGCTGTCCAGTAGCGTATAACAGAATAATTCAACCTAAGAGTTTGTGAGGACATTTTTCTGTTTGGAGGAAATTCTTTTCTCAATGTACAATGTTTGTGTACACTGATATTATATACTTTTCTTTTAGATGTGAGCTCGTAGTACAGTGAATACTCAAAGCGTTGCAGAATCCACTGGTCACGTGTCCTTTCTGGTAGCTAGAGGAGCAGTGAAGCCATGCGCCTTTGGTTAGGTGGTTTGATAAAATTTCAGTGTTGCTGTCTTTTAGGCTGTGTCCCTGAGGTTATTCTTGAAGTATCCTAGGTGAGTCTCTTCGCTTGCTTAGCGTCCTTCCGGCTACATCTGATTAGGAATGATGAATCAGTGTCCTGCTGTGATTCTGGGGTCGGCTGTGCATTCACCTGGTGGTCACCAAAGGAATGAATGCGCAAGCCTGGGATGATGGGCTGACCAGCGTCGTGTAATGGGGCTTGGGGCATGACGGAGTCCTGTGGTGCAACCAAAGTTTCCTTATTGCCAGGCAGCCTCTCTGAGCTCTTCTGGGCCCTTCCAGTGGGGCAGTTAGGTTAAATTATGACTTAACCTTCAGATTTCAAAAGGCGTGATTTGTTTCTTCGGAGTGTGGTCTGGTGGCTGGGATGTGGTCATTTTGATGGGAATACTCCTTGCATTTGAAACTCGGGTGGTGTCTCCCCCAGATACGCAGCGGCTGCGCACACGCTGAGTGACATTTCTGCCGCCATGGCCAGTGGGAACTGGGAAGAAGCTAAGGAGCTCTCTGACAGTGCCAAGAGGGAGTGGAACAAGCTGAAAAACCACCCTTCCCTGAGGTAAAACTTGTCTTTTTTGGCACTAAGGTGGAACTCCGGCCTTGTACATGCTGGGGAAGTGCTCAGCCAGTGAGTTATTTTTAGGTACCTGCCAACATTTACTTGTGACCACCTTCCTTCTAACCTCTTTGGAGATTTTATTCAAAAAGAATGTACTCCTTTTGCTTTGCAGTCACATAAATGGCAGAAGTGGAATTTTCTGCCCTCTTTGCATAGCATTCAGAGTGCTATGTGAAATCGAAGGCAATAGCAAGAGTTTAAAGTGAACTTTATGTCACTCAGAGGTTTGGGCAGTGGACATTTGGCTTTTAGCTTGCCAGTGTCTTTCAGGGTGTGGCCTCCCAGAGCCATGCAGAGCTGACTTTACTCATGAGGGTGCAGACTGCGTGGTGGTCTAGTGGGACCCCAGGTCCATGGTGTTTGCAGAGACAGTCCAAGTGAGCATTCACTCAGGCAGTTCTGAGAGCGGGGTGCGGTCTTCTTTTGTTCTGCCTCGTAAATCTTTAGGGACCTGCAGCGCTGTGGAAGATTTTTCCTTTGTTGATGTATAGTGATGAGAAAACTAAGATTTTCCAGGGCTGCTTTTATGAAAATGTTTGGGATACACATTTTATAAAAAATAATGTTGACGTAAAAGTCATAGCCAGAAAATTAGAAGATAGATTACTGAAGAGCAGAAATTGCTAAGCTTCGATGAAAAACCAGGTGGTCAGTTTTGGAAGCTGGGCAGGCCCGGGAGCTCTGGGCAGCGACCTCCTGTGCCATCGCGGTGCAGCGTCGGACGCGGGCAGGGCACCGGAGAGAACACGGCTGTGTCTGAACGCTGCTCCTGCACACGGAGGTTTTAGTTCAGTAACCGTCCACATCCAAAGTACTGTTCTCCTATGAATGCATTTCATGTATTCAAAATGGTAAAGACCTGGAGGAAAGGTGGGGAAGCAGTCGTCTGTGAGCGGTGAGGCCAGTTAGCTGTAAGAAGGTCTGTGTGCTCTGACGTGGCAGTGTGAACATAGAGAGCGGTTGTGGGTTATGCGCTCAGAAGATTAAAAGGAAGCGTTTTGAATGTTGGGCCGTAATGAAGTGATAAATGTTGGAGGAGATAGACAGGTTTGATCTGCTCACAGAATGGATGTATGCAATGAAACATTGTGTAGTACCCCATTATGTATGAGTATGTACAATTTTTATGTTTTTCTGTATCAAAAAATGTAAGGGCCGGCCAGATAGCTCAGTAGATTGAAGTGCCTGCCTGCTTAGGCAGAGCACAGGGACTGGGGTTCGGTCTCTGGCCTGCAGTGCCATCCCCGCCCCCTGCGGTGCTCTGAGAGGGCTAGTGAGTCTGGGCGTGGTGGTGTGCACCTGTAATCCCAGCGCTTGGAAGGCTGAAAACAGGAGGATCACTATGAGTCTGATCTGTGTAGTGAGACCCTGTATTAAATACATAAAAAATTTAAGAAATAGCCATACATTCAGAAAGGTAAATAGTAAAGTGCATTTTGAAGTAATCATTTAGAAAGGCACAACCATTTTGCTTGTTTGGAGGGCTGGGAAAATTAGGGGGACTGGCCCTGGGCCCTGGGCTGGCTTGCTGACCTTTGTTTACAGTGTTGCCAGTTCTCCTCTCAGGTCGTCATCTGAGAGATTGGGACAGGCTGGCTGGCTACAGAACTGTGGAGTTGGGGGTGAAGAAAATTGTATGGAGCTAAAAGTAGGTGGACTATAGCTTCTCAGTAGAATTCAGCGTTCTTTGCCATTTCTTGTAGTTGTCATACAACAAATAAACTAATTTGTTAACCACCATTGCTTGTTATAGTTACTAACTGCTGTATATTTTCTCTCCAGGTACCACGAGGATTTACCACTCTTCCTGCGGTGCTTTACTGTTGGCTGGATTTACACGCGGATTTTGTCTCGGTCTGTTGAGATACTGCAGAGACTTCACATGTATGAGGTTAGAGCTCTGTCCCTGCCTCCCCTCGCTGGCCCTGACACCGGGTGGGGACCCTCCTGAGCTCTCAGCGTTGCCTGTGCTTGATCGGCACGTAGTAGTACAGTGAAAGCACAGCTGATGCGGGAGCCTGCTGTCAGGTTAGCAGAGACTGCTGGCGACCAGCATCTGCTGTATCCAGCCGCGAGCTGAGGATGTCCAGAGAACTTGGGTCATGGACAGGCCTGCCCGGAAGCCCTGGCGGGTGTCTCTGGCCTGAGCTGAATCTCTTTCAGGACTCAGTGCGTCACTTGGGAGCTTCCCTACAGTCTCTGGGGCTGAAATCTCACATCTCTTTGTATCGCCATGTGCGCTGTCCCAAGTGGTCTAAAAATAATTTATAGTTTTGTGTCAGAAATGTGGTCATAGGCCGGCCAGATAGCTCAGCGGATTAAAGCGCCTGTTTAGGCAGAAGACAGTGGCCGGGTTCGATCCCCAGTGTACTGTGCCAGCCCTGCCCCTGGGGTGTGGTGAAATGGCGATTGAGACTGGGTGTGGTGGCACACACCTGTAATCCCAGTGCTTAGGAGGCTGAAATCAGAATTACTATGATCTGATTTACGTAGTGAGACCCTATAGACCCTGCAGACGCTACCAAATACATAAAGAAAAGAAATGTGATCGTATAACAAGCGTTGTGAAGTTCCCAGTATTTCCTTTTGTTGCATTTGATATTTCAGTATCAGAAAGTCCTGTTTTAAAATAATGGTTATGTCACGTTGACTTTTCAACTTGGGGCCTGGGAAGCTTAGGTGGGTCTGTGGGCGGGCTGTAGGGAGCCTCGAATCTCCAAATTGCATGTATACAAGCGTTTATGCATTTTCTTGGTAATCTTTCAAAGAGGTGTATGAACCACAAAAGATGAGCATAAAGAATGAACAGTTGGTGCATAAATCTAGACCAGAAGATCTCCCTGCCTACGTGGGGTATCTGAACGAGACCACCCTTTGTTACTGTTCTGTCTTCCCCCAATCTCTCCCTCTCTGAGCCTGGCCCAGAGCTTGGTCCCATAGGGCTCTGTGCTGGCCTGCGTGACCTGCGGAGAACACGGCTGAAGGCTTGGTGCCAGGGTGCAAGGGCCTGGGGCACGCTAGGAGTACCGCAGGGAGCTCGGGCCCACAGGTGGCTTGTCATGGTCCTGGGCTGCAGACTGGAGAGATACCCCGCATAAATACTCTTTGCCAATCCTTTTGGCTTCTGAATATAATTGCAGTTGATTGTTTTAGAGTCTAGTGTGCTGTCTTTGTTACTGTTGGCAATAGGAATCCGTGGCGGAACTCGAAAACCTTTTGTCTCAGGCAAGTTACTGTCCCGACAGCAGAGGCCGATGGTGGGATCGACTGGCTCTTAACCTGCACCAGCACCTGAAGCGCCTGGAACCGGTACTCAGGAGGACGCTGTCATAGTCACCCTCCCTTTATTGGACACTGTCCCCAACACCCACAGCTCAAAGGAGGAGCGGTTTGTTGTGGCTCACAGTTTCCACCTGTGATTTGCCAGGCCAGGCAGAAGGGCCTGGCGGAAGAGCCTAGAGGGAGACAGCTGTGCGGAGCGTGGCAACAGGGAGCAGAGGGACGGGAGGGGGGTGCTCAGGGTGCAGCTGGGGGGAGAGACCTGGGAGCTCCAGCCAGGCCAGCCCCCTGCAGGCCCCACCTCCAGCAGCACAGTCGGCCGCTGAGCGATCCAGGACAGACCCCTGACAACGAGAGTGCCTGATGATCCAGGCACCTTCCACATGCATGAGGGCTTTGGGGGACGTTTCAGATCTACACTGTAACAGAGATCTGAAGCTCTTCTGTTAGATGAACTTTTTTAAATAGAGCAAACTCTAAACTTTCTCTTTTTTAAATGTCTTCTCTTTTGTTCTTTTCACACTGAGGATCAAAGCCAGGGCCTGACACGTGCGAAGTGGACACTTTACCACTGCGCTACAAAACCAGTTAGAACATTGCTTTCTTTTCTTGGCATTTTCCAACCCCCAGAGACATAGCAGGGATGACATTAGTACAAGCATTACGATGAAGACAGGAGGCCTCTCGCTCCCTTTACTGACGGTGGCGCTTTGCTGGCAGTTCATATCTAGGAATCAAGGCAGAGGGAGGGTGCGATGTCTTGGCCTTCAGCAGGTGTCAGCGAGGTTTTGGGTTTTTGGTGTTTTTAGTACTGGGGGTCAGACTCAGGACTTTGTGCAAATGCTCTGCCACGGGGCTACGTGTACAGCGGATTCTTCTTCTTGGAAATGGTAATTTATTTATTGTGTGAGATCTCTAGGGAGAGAGGCTGAATAAAACATTCCTTTCCTTATCTTGGTACAGGTGCTTGGAGAGCAGCGCTGTGGCCTTGTGAGGTGCTTTGCTCCTCCTTGGACGAGTGTCTGACCAGCCCTGAGCAGGCTGCCTGCCTCCAGGGCACCAGGGCTCTGCGGGTTCTTGGGGCTCAGGCAGAAGGATCCTGTTGCTGCAGGGAGCAGGCAGGGCGGGCGGCCACAGTGGCTCTTTGTGTAGCTGCTGACAGTCCCCTCCTGTCTCCGTCCCAGCCCTGCATTCGAGTTGAATGGAGGGGCCTGTGCCTCTGGGAGGTTTTATTTTTTCCAGTGGCACACCAAGTGAATCAGAGTGGTGTAGGAGTGGGAAAAAATTGGCCATGGAATGTGGAACTATGACATGGTGTTTTCATTGCCCTACACTGAAGAGTGCCTTGTTACCTCAGGTGCCCGCGACACGTGGGTGGGAGCTGTGTGCTGCTGTGGAGGTGGCGTGGAGCCGGTGCCCCCGGGTGTGGTGGGGCCAAGGCGGCCGGGGGCTCCGGGGGCCGGGAGCTGGGCTGGGCGGGAGCGGGCTGTGGGCGCTGCCTCCTCCTCCGAGCGCCTGCTCTCAGCTCTGTGCTCGCACGCAGGCGCCGTGTGGCGGCAGGCCTGAGCGCGCTTTGGTGCGGACAAACCTCGTCCCTCTTGCCTGCTGCCCGCCCGAGGCGCTCCTTCTGGTGACCTTCTTACCGTGCCTGCCCCTGCAGAGCACCAGGCAGCCAGCAGGGCTCGGGGCCGCAGCAGCGAGGCCTGCCCTTGCCCTCTCACAGACTTCTGCTCTCTGTCCCTGCTAGGGATAGCGTGCGCCACTCTGCCCTGGTCACTTTGTGACTCCATTTGCGCTTCAGCTCCTTGTGGCCTGAGCCTTCATTGATTTTTTTTAGTTTCCCTTTATACTTTTTCTTTTGTGATAAGATATATGTAGCAGACATCAAGTTTATCATTTGAACAATGTTTGAGTGAAATTCAGCGACGTTAATTGTATGCACAGTGTTTTACAGCCATCAGCGCTGTCTCTGTTATCCCAAACAGAAATTCTGTAGGCATGAAGCAGCTGTACTCCATCCCCGCTTCCAGTCCCTGCTACCTCCCAGCTCCTTCCTGTCTCTGTGGACAGGCCTGCTCTGGGTGGTTAATGGCCTCTTGTCATGTAGTCTATTTCACTGAGCATGTTTCCAGCCTACATCCGTGTTGCAGCATGCAGCACTTTATTCCTTTTCATGGCTGAGTGATACTCCATTGTGCATGTTGACCGAGTTAGCCGATCATCCAGAGATGGACACTGGGGCTGCTAGCAAACCGAGTCATTAGAAGCGGGGTTTCCTGTCGGGTTTTCCTGTCGGGCCTTCTGGGATCCTGATGCGTGATGCCTTGTTTGCCAGGCTGTCAGGTGCATCATCAAAGGGCTGGCGGATCCAGAAGTAAGGACAGGGCACCGCCTTTCACTCTATCAGAGAGCCATGCGCCTGCGGGAGTCCCCGAGCTGTAAGAAGTACAAGCATCTCTTCCGCCAGCTGCCAGAAATAGCAGTGGAAGACGTGAAGCACGTGAGTGTTCAGTGTTGGTTGGGCGCTGGTCCTCGGCCCAGGGCCTTGCGCGTGGGAGTGTACGCCACATGCGCACGTGCTGGACCGCAGGGCTGCATCCCAGAGCCCCCTGGGTGCTTGGCACTGGAGCGTGTCACCTTGATTTTTTAAGAGCAGATTTAGTGTGTACTTTCTTCTGACCTGAGAAACTGGGAGGCTCGTTCCTGACAGTGATGTGCTCACTGCTCACGCTGTCACCCTAGAGCCCTCCTCCCTGATGAGACTGCTGGGGGAACTGTGTTGCTGTGGTGACAGGCGCCCTCCAGCGGCAGGGCTGGGACCTGTCCCACTCTAGCGTGGGTCATGTTTCACTCTCAGTACGTGGCTGTGAGGGAAGGAAGCTTGTTCTAAGGAAACTTGAGGCAGTTTTTCAGGGCTTCATCGAGACTGGGCTGACAGATGCCTTTCTGCTGCATCCTAGGTGACCATCACGGGCAGGCTGTGCCCTCAGCATGGAATGGGCAAGTCCACATTTGTCGTGGAGTCTGGGGACACTGCTGCCCCCACCACAGTCCTGTGCTCTGTGGAGGAGCTGGCGCTGGACCACTACAGACGCCACGGCTTTGACCAGGGTGAGCTGACATCGTTTCTCCCCTCCTTTCAGTGTGCACGTGGTGAACAGTGTTTCTGTGGACGTTCCGGTGGTGGCTCATTGTGTTCACTGGCTCGGCCCACGAGAGGAAGCACTGTTGACTAGCAATGTTTGGCAGAGAAACTTAGCAGCTACGTTTCAGAGAGGTCC